AAAATTTGAGATTAGAGCAGAAAAAAAGGTGTGATATAATCTCCATCATTGCCTGGTGATGTCCCCATGGTAAAGACTTCATAGACCCGTGTCTGGTCTCTGCTGCCCCCTATATCCACCTTGGCACTCCATAACTTGGGGGAGGGAGTGGGGTGACTGTGATAGAAAAGTGATGTCCTAGCTACACTTTAACTTATAAGATGAAAAACTGTTCACTGTCTTTTACCAGAAGAGTTTTAGTCACTGCTTTTGATACAGACTTATAAATTCTTGTTTTTGGTGAATTTAAAAATGCACATGTACTTATTATATGCACTCACATGTTAAGAAAGCTTGTGAATATTAAGCGTGGTTTGACTGATGGGGAATTAATTGTTACCCATTTTGAAAATCATGCTTTATTCATCAACTGAATCAAAAAAAAAAAGTAAAATGCAATTTGTACTAATGTTCTGAATAAGTATGTACAGAAAATATACTCAATATATTTCATAAAAAAAGTGATAACACAAAAAACAATATCTGTAAATTTTAACGTTTATTACTTGTGACACTCAGAAATATAATATTAGACAAACTTTGTTATTAATCAAAGATCGTGTGGTACAAATTTCATTGAAATTAAAATTGATTGAATAAAAAAATTGAATTAACAAAGAGCTATTATATTTCTGTCATATTTATTTGTTTCACTTCTATTGGTTATGGCACCATTGACTACTTAGGCTATCAATAAAATGCCCTTCCTGCTGTATCCTCTTTCAACAATACATTGCTAACAATATTGTAGTGTTCCTGGTGGCTTCTACGCCCCAAGAACCAGTAGGTGGCAGATAAACTGCACAGAAATATCACTGAGCTTGACACAAGTCTTGCTGATAATGATAATGGACATGTATCTTTTTTATTATCTGTCTTTCAGTGTCATATTCTTTGGCTTCTGTTTTTGACACTGTTATACATTTTGCCCAACAGTAATTTGTCACTTATCAAAAGCAGAGAGATTTTATGACTTTCTTTACATTAGACTTTAAATTAAATAGAAATAAAAAATCAAGTTATCAAATAAAATCTTTTCCAGGAAATAAAAACTTTTTTTTTACAAAGTAGCAGATATTTATGACCATTATTCTTATAATGCCTTAGACTCTTGCTCATATTTAAAAAGGCTATTCTTTTCTTGCTAAATGCACAAAAACTATTTGATGTCAAAGTTACAATTTTGATTGCAATAAAATTCCAATATAACCAAAATTGTAAGAACACCTTATTTTATGTGTTACCTTCTGTTGGGTGTTACCTAAGCTTAGGTACAAGACCATTGAGTATGATTATGAAGATGAGAAAGGATATTCAATACCAAATTCTTCTGAGAACTCTGGTGTGCCAAATTGAAGATGGTGACACCCAAGCTCTCTTTGTTAGTTTTTCTAAAATTTCTTTTTCATTTAGCATTTATATTCCCTGTGTTCCCCATATATTGTTTTGTATATGTTCTGTTCCCATGTTCTCCATTAAGCCTAAGACAGAAGCACTAGATAACATCAGTAACACTATATGGTACCAAATTAAGAAAAACAGACTTTAAGACAAAGCCTGCTTAATCTGCCCATGGGTTCCGAGGTGCCCTGCTTTAAGTGAATGCTGTGCAATAAAGGATTATTGTTTGGCAACTGTGGTTTTATGACGTCTGTTAAGTTAACTAAGGACTTAAGATTTGCAGCAAAAATTCTACTGTTACTTCTAAATGAAGTGTAAAAGTCTTCCAAAAAAGTTTTAATTTACTTGTTATTCAAAGAAAAAATTAAATGGGAAAACAGCTATATATGTGGACTATAATTGAATTAGAAGTCATCAAAAGAAAAAAAATGATAGAAATGAGAGAAAAGAAGAAAAAACATCCCTTATTTAAATTAAATATGGTTACCGTCTTTATATCCATTTTTCATTGAATAAAAAAAGTGGCCGCTGCCTGTAGTATTGTTCCTCCCAGTCTTTAATTGCTTCGTGGAGGTACTAGTTGTCAGGGACACATTTGGTCAAGTGTTGACTTTGGTGACATTTTTGACATTTGGGTCTTTGTTCAATTTATATTGTTTTTGATATCAACAGACTTTTATTGAATCATATCAGGAACTGTTTCCTTCAATTTTGGAGGGAGTGTTTCAGAACTTTTTTTCAACAAGGCAGTGTACTTTAAGTTTAGACGTGTATTTATTTTCTTTTATTTTAAGCTGCTTCATGAAAGGTTTTTTGGAACAGTGATTTTCTTGATTTTAAAAAGTCAGATTTAAGAAATGTGTATTTCAAAGTCTTCCTTTGTTATAATCTGTTCTTGGGAACACCATTATATACATTGTACTAGTAGAAGTACTCTGGCAAAACGTGAGATTTTTTTATTTAACTGCACTTAGATAAAAGTAACATTCAGTAATGAATGACAGGATTTGTTAAACAATTTCTTTTGTTTATAGGATTTTTATTGTCCAATGTTTACATCAGAATGTGTAATTATCTACTTGGGTGGCAAGTCAGTTTTTATCAGAAGAGAACTTTTGCTGAGAACTTTTATGCCAGCCATTTGTCCGCAAGTGCCTGGTACTACAGTCCTATTAATTAATACAAAGTGGTGTTTTGCCCCTGGGACTTCTTACCTGTTTGTGTGGTAGGGGTGGGGGTAGGGGCATTGGCCCATACAGTAGGTTCCACATTCTACTACTACAAAGGTGGCCAGCATCTCATATGCTAAGTTTTAAATTCCTCTAGTGGCACTAAAGGAGTTCAGAAAATTCACTTTGTCAGTTTTTTTTGTGGTGTTTTTGTCTCTTCTCGTTCACTTGATTACCCTGTGTAGAGGAAAACTGATGTAAGTTATATGTTGATCATAAAAAACATTGTAATCTGTATAATATATGACACTGGCATGTTGACTGTTTGATTAAACAAAAGGAATTTGACTTTCAACACACTTGTAAACCTATGGAAAAAGGAACCTTTTTTTACAATAGGAAACAACAAAAGTGAATTAAAATTCCAACCTTTAGGGAAACTTAATCAAGCACCTAACAGAAGTAATGTAAAACAAAAGCGAACCTTGATTATTCAAGGCCTCTGTTATTCTTTAGAAATTGACTAAAATAAACCTTGCCAACGTGTTGTTTTGGTGATTAAAACATTTTCATTTTGGAGGTTGTGACCCAGGGTTTATACAAACAATAGCCGCAGTATTCTGGCTGCTGACGGAATCAATCTAAATGCAAATTTCTTTTGTTTTATCCAAATTAAGACTGACTGGAGACTGCCCAGGGTCTTAATGGCACCTATGGGTAATTTCATGGAGAAACACATTCTTATACTGTTGATATCTAATTATTTCATTAAGCTCTCTGATTTGCCTGGATATCTAATACCTCTCACAATTTAAACCAGTAAAGGAAGTCAGGGTTTCAATAACAATTGCAAGGGGAGTTTTGCTGGGGAAAATAAACAATAGCTTCCTTATTTGTCCATGATGGGTTGGCCCAGTTGGCTGATTACATAACAACAACTGCTACAATGTTTAATTGCTGCCTGCTGAGAACAGATGGGGCTATCCTCTCTGGACATTGTCCAGTTTTGGTCAGTCTGATGATAGAGGTGTCAGGGGTAAGTGTTAAAGGATGGAAATATAGTGTAATATTCTTTGAGTGTTATCTGGTAGCAAATTTGATGACAAATTGATAATTGTTCTGCAGTTTGTCTTAAAATGTAATCTCTACTACAACTGGATTTTTTTACTGCTTCAAATTGTTCATTTTGCTGAGATATTAGACTTTTTGGACTCTGTTCCCTGAGAATCTTGATCATAGAAAAGGATGTTTGGATCAGTAGGTTTGTAAGAGCAGAACTGAATAATGGAAAACTCATCTTTGTATACATCTTTGAGAAGAAGTTGATGATGTCTTAAGAAAATGTTCTTGTGAATTGTCTGGAAGGCTGGGCAGCTGCACTGGAGAGATAAGCTATAATTGCCAACATTACAGGAACCAGGATTGCCATAGTGATTGATCAGTGATAGCAATACTGTAGACATAATTTCATTTTGGTGGCTTATTTCACGTGAATCTACTCACTCTCAGCGACCCAGCAAGCAACTTGTACTCACCTACGTATTGACTTAGCGTAACTTTGATGGACTGCAGTAAGTGCATTCCTGACCATACTGTTACAGGTTAATCATATTTACAGCACAGGGGCCTATTTTCAGCCAAAGATGTACTTTTTATAAACCATTCTTAGTTTTTCTAATTGTCTACACAGGTTTCTCACTCCTGCTGGTTCTGTCAGTTTCTGCTCTATTGTGGTTTTACTAGAGAGGCACAGAACCTTACTAGACAAATTAGGAGCTGTTCATGACAATCCACACTCAGGTTTACACATTGAGACTCAAAGATTTTGAAATTGAACTTGCAATCTGGTTCAACCATGGTATAATAGTATGCTGGTCCCTGATTGAGGTTGTAATGTGGTAAGTCCTCTCAAGTGGTTTTCTCTGTGACCAAGTCGGCTTCCGGTCACAATCTATCCAATGATTGGCTCATTGAGACAAGGCAGGAAACTATTTCAGTGTAAACAGTAGCTATTATAATCCAGGACTGAGTTGCCAATTCTCAAAAGGGGACATTCCTTCGGGGATCTACTTCTAGAGTTTTCAGATTTTTTTTATTGCTCACAGGATATTCAAAATGCAAACAATTGCGAGTATGACTTTCACTGTGTCTGAAAATCAAAGCCATTGTTTGTGAGTCAAATGTCACCTGTTTCAATTTTTTTCTGCATTACTTTTTGGTGTGTGTTGATGTTTTTTATTAACTGCAGAATATGATTGTGTAAAAATAGTTTGTTTTTATTATTTCTTCCAGATGTTAGTTTGGAAGAATTCCTATAATGTCACACCTAAGACTTTGTATGGCAAATTCTTTAATAATGGCATAATATATACTTTGTATTGTTCTTTTCAGAAACATGTCTTCCAAGCGTAAGAGTGCTCCGCAGAAAGTTTCCAAAGACGAGGTGCTCCTTGAACACCAAATTACCAACTCACATTCAGACAAAGGGGACATAATGATGAATGGTCAAGAAAGTGACTTGGACTCTGATAATGACATGGCTCTTCAAATTGTGACAAAACCAGAAGAACTCTGTGATCTCCCAGACTCTGCTGATAGCCCAAATGGACTTGACAAGCCTCAGAGCAAGAAGCAGCGCATTTTGCAAAGTGTCAAGCAGCAAGACAATGAGACCTCTGATACTGAGGCAGTGGAGTCTCATCAGAAAGTAAGCAACAACTACAGCCAAACCAAGCCCTCTCATGGGCAGCACAGGAAATCTATGGACTTCATCTTGCAGAAATTAGGTGCAAAGTCTGACACTGACTCTGGAATCAATGGCGATTTTCCTGACATTTCTCCCAGAGACATAATCATGACTGTGAAGGCAGTGGTATTGGGTGAGAGATCGTCACTGCTAGACAAGGAGCAATGGCTAAATGAGTTGATTAGACAGCTGCAGAGTTTGAAAGACAATTTAGGCAAGCAGAGGGAAATGCAGGTAAATATATTCCAAGGTTTTCACTAAATATTTTGTACAAATTTATAATGTACTCTCGCTACTTTGATTCTTCTAGATTTGAATTAAAAATATAATAAATTGCTTTTACTAGAAAGAGTTGTACTGGTATGGACTTAAAGTGAAGTGTGATTATTTTGATCCTTGATAAATGCACTCAGTGGAAATGTTGTTGAAATAATTTTCCAAATTGGAAATATTTGTCAAATTGTTTTTGGTAACTGGCACATCTTTACAACAGAAGGATTTACTTTATAATAAAGTATTAATTTAAAAAATTATAGCAAGAGAGACAGTATGTGTAATTTTACCAATTTTTAAGATGTTTAGATTATCACAGGGAAGATGATTAATTCATTATCTAATGAGCCATTTGTCTGGGCGTTTGTCTGACTGAAAAGAAAAGTCCAAATGAATTTATATGGTAGATCACTTTAACTTATCTCACATTTGTTCAAAAGAAGTTTTGTCTTACAACTATAAGCAGGACTGTTTAAGAAAAATGGAAAGTTAACTTTTTAATGTTAACTAATTAAATACCAAAATGAAGTGACTTGATGGAAAATGAGCCAATTATGGAAAGAAAAAAAAAAAAAAACGAAAACAAAAGAGGGAAGCTCAATGATCAAAGACATTGTTAACCAGACAAAAAAAGCTTTCTGTTAAAGGGCCCTTAAAACAACACCAGTCAAAAGGAATTTTCATAAAAGCAGTGCATTAGAGTGTGCTTGTCTTTATGCATTCTTAACTTGCTCAAATTAGTAAAAAATGTGTGAAAGCCTTTTAAGTAGGAGCTGAACTAGTAAGCTAGAAAAATTGATGTTGACAGCATTTTTCTTTTGTGAATGAACCATTGAGAATGAACTTGCCCCAGTCTATTCTGCAGGAATAAATCACTATCTAAGTAGTATATTTACCGTAAACATAAGACCAGGGTTAGGGGCCTTGACACAGCCAATCAGAAGTAGTCGCCTGCTTTACCTTTTTTGAGGGGTGCAATAGTGAATGTAAAATGACCTGACAGTTTACCAAAAAAAAAAGAAAAAAATTAAAATTATGTATTTGTGCAAATATGTACAGAATATACTGCTTCAGTGGAATAATGGGTGATTAGTCCTTTATCCGTCTTCATTTGAGCAGTGTTCAGATCTCATATCAACTGGAGATACCTGGACAGGTAGATCTAGGTTTAATTACCTCTACCTTATTCTATACAACACACAATTGATGAATCAATAAAGACCAGCTACTGTCAGTTGACAAAAAATTTTAACCGCTCTTGTTGCTTATGTTACTTGAAGGTTTCATGTGATTCATATGCTAGAGATTTTGATGCAATAAAAATGGTTTTTGTGGTGATATAATAGATTATAATCCAATAATCTTCATACTACTTGTGTATCCTGAAACTTTTCCACTTCAAAGATGATTTTTTATAATGTATGGAAAAGTTTCCTTTCCTGTCACTCCAACTTTGGCAGTATTTCCTAGAGGACCCTTATTCAAAGATATCGGACAACTTCATTATGTCATATCCTGGGTGCAGTTCGCTAAGAGTATTGCTGTCAATTTATGACTTAAAAAATTTTAAAACAAATTTTTGTAACATATGTGTGATAATCTAGATAAGTGTTTGAAGACAATAATTTAATGAGACACAAATGCTTATTTGAAAATTATTAGTGTACTAAAGTAATAATTAAAATGCTTAATTACACCTCTTAAAAACAATAGGCTGATACAAGATCCAAGTCACATGTGTCACCAGTTTTGGTTTACCACTCTGTGGTTATGCATGCACAGTGTAAGTGATCCACAGCCTCCTACGCTGGCAATCACTTGGTCACATTAGGTGTAGGAGTCTGCCTGAAGCTCTAGCCAACACAGGCACTACAACTTCAGAGTAAGTTAGAAAATGCACCCATCAAGCACACTGTGGCAGACACCCCTTCCGCCCACAACTGGGGGATAATGGACTATTAATGACAGAGTATGTTGTTTTTGTTTTAAAAAAAGGGAAAATATTATGTAAATGGTGTCAGGGAATAATCGGAATGTTTATAGTTACAGGTCTATTGTCAGGAAGTTTAATTTGAAGAAGAAAGATCAGTTAGCTGTGTTGAAATGGATTTATTTTAGTGGTTATTGCTATTATTAGGAAAGTTATGTGAAAAATGGTTTTATTTGCTAATCGGTAAAAAAAATCAGTAAAATGTTTCTTGCAATTTTATTGTAACTTTTAAGTGTATCAAGGTAATTAAATTTGCAAGAAAAGGTTCACAACTTTATTGATGTGTTTGAACAAATTTTATTGCAATACAAATTATAAGCCTGAAGCTCTTCCTCACTGTGGGGCGACTCATATGAGTTTAGTTAAAGTTCAAATTAGTGGGAGGGGTCTGTGTCTGCTGCAACTGCTGAGGCACACTTCCCCAGTGAAGTCTATTAGGCAGACAAACACGAACAATGTGCTCCATCTGATCTCACAGAAGTAGGGAACAGTTGAAGCAACTTTGGTTGAACTTTGCCATTTACTACATCAAAAGATACAGCCTCAGCTGGAGTATTGTGTAACTATGCACAAATCTTAGAAAGTTGAGCTGCCGCTTAGAAATAATGAGGAAAACTTAAGGAACGATTTTGGATTTCAGGGTTGTAGGTAAAAAAAATTAGAAACAAGGGGGCATGAGTTGTTCAAGAAAGTTGACATTTGCTTTGTCATTTTCACACTTTCATCTTTGTACCACACGCCACCGTCACTGCCACTTCTTTGCAGGAAACAACTGCAACCCATTGTCAGCATCCGAGCATGATCAAAGACCTTCATTTCTTTGAAAAGAGAGAAAAAGTAAAGTATCCCTTTGCTTAGTGGCTAGGAACAATATATGATCAAGTAAACAAGCACATGTCTTGACAATGACCCCCATCCAGAGCAGAAATAATCTAATAAAGTGAAAGCTGCCTTGGCTTTAATTGGGGGAAGTCTGGTTCTGGTTAAGAAAAGAGTACAAAATACATGAAAGGTTGAATTGACAAGTGATCAAAAGCTTTGGTCTTCCCCATTTGGTACCAGTAACTGGAGAGTAGCAATTGTTGCCTCAACACTATCTCCTCTGTGTTTGAACAACAGGGACTCAAATTTCTCACTTCAAGAAACAAAACACATTTCCAGGTTGTAGAAATTGCAATACCTTGAATGGATGCCTTTATAAGGTAAGCCACATGTGGGTGAGGAATACCTGACCTTTTGTTTCTGAAGGGACTGACTTCAACAATGCTTTCATATTAACTATACCAGGGTGGGGCATGATATTATTAAAACTTTAGCCACTGTCTTAGCACAGGTAAATATTTTCCTTCCAACAACATGGACCATAGGTCAATCAGCAAGCTTTTAAAAGGCCAGGCGTATGGATTCAGTATCATTCTGATTTATTTTCCCCATCTAACACCATCTTCACATTATCTTCTTGACTTGAATTTTCACTCTGATATCTGCAAGGTCTTTCCAAGGGCCCCTAGAATTGCAGGCCAGAGATAATGGTGAGGGCTGGGTTGGGGAATGTGTATCGATGAGCAAAACAGGCGCCTTACCTGTGCCAACCAACAAAGAATAACATGCTCATCCCAGTTTCTTGTGGTTAGATAGACAAATACAATCAATCATTTCATTATGTTGGATCAGAACTCCTGGGGATCCTTCTCCCCTTTCTCAGGTCATTGAATATTTGAGAACTATTGTATTGCCTATTTTTAGCAGCTGTAGATGTTTATTGACAACTAATTTGTTGTATGAAAAAGTTAGTCTTTTTAATGAATTTAAATTTTATAGATATTATGTAATGTTCAAAGCCCTTGTCTCATTTTGATGATTGGTCATGAGGAGCCCTGTTGAATGAAACTGAAATCAAGTACTGAAAGAAACCAGCGTAGAGCAAATCCCAATTGACATTTGTACCCATTAAATGCAATAAAATCCCTATCAGGATGGCCTTGTTGATTGACAAAACAATCATTATGACCTTTTATAGTGTTGGTAATAGGATGCCATTAGTCTTGTGCCACACAGAGGTGAGCCTTGTGGAGTGTTGTATCATAAATGAGAAGGCAGCAGGAATTTGACAGTTGTTATGTAAAGCTTATCATGATGTTTCCTGGATTCCCTAATCCAATAGTGCTAGGAGTGCTTGGAAACAATTACCTGGAGCCATGCTTTACAAATCCTGTGACTGAGAACTTAAGCTCTATGTTTTGCTTCTATTTTCTGTAATCTGTAGTGTAATTTTACTTCCTTTGATCATCACATATATGCATGTAGAATTAAGACAAATGATAAATGATTTCAAAGGCAAAAGCTACATTTCCCGCCACCTGTCCCGATAGTGTCAGCTTGTAAAAGAACAAAAAATTTTGCTGATGCGTAGGCTTCAAAATTAGTGATTCAGTTGTGTTACTTACTTCCCAGGAAATGCCATTGTTGTTGTTCACTATATACAAAAAATTATCATCAGTGGGATCAAAGAACAATGGATTTTCTTTAGTGCCTCTCATTACATAATTCTTACTAACCACACCATTGAAGTTCATGGATTGAAAAAAATATTAATGTTGGTAGAACATTTGGGCAAATTTCTCAACTGACAATACAAAAATCTTTGCAACAGGCATTGTGTTTTCCAGGCATATGCTTGTTACTGTATGTTCCTTTTTATCTGAGACATCGAAGAACAAAAGTGTGCAGTTCACAAATAAGCACAGGTGAGAATCTTGAAACTTTCTTTTTGTCTTTTACCAATATTTATCTGAAAATTTTTATTTGTCATTGTAGGGCGGACATGAAGACCGAAATCATGACAATGCCAACAAATTTGGTAAGTTGCCATTTCATTATTTTACTGATTGATACAGTGATATATTATATGTGGGTAATTGTAGGGAACATGATATAAGTTGTTTTACATGTGCATCCAGATAAAACTATTCTTGGATAATATATGTTCATTTCGAAACTTGATGAATGTCGAAGAAATGTTTTTAAAATCACCCCATTGTTTCAGTATGATAAAAAAATTACATTTGGTGACAGACCAGTGTGATGATAGGAAGGATTGAAGTCACCATGGCAAGTTTTTTGAAACAGGGGGATATGTTATCTGAGGGTATAAACTTATTGAGGATGGCTACCAAATTTCCTGTGGTTTAGACGACCTTTTTGTCTAGACAACTCGTTTTCTTTGCAACCTATTAAGCATGTACTTATCAAAGATAATTAAATTGACTAGGAAAATATTTTTTGATTTCAAGAAATAAACAGTTTCATCTTGCCTCAGTAGGATGAGGTTATGGCACTTTCTTTGAGGTATGGACTCTAGTTGGCCAGCTCTCAGTAAATTATGTGTCAGGTCTAATATTATTTAGTAAAAGAGCCATTATTCCCCCATCTGTGCACATGGATAAGGGGAAAGCACTTTGATAAGTAATAGTCATAAAATCTAAGGTGCTGTGCCTTATATGGAGCTGGGGCCATTGATACAGGAAATGGACTAAAAAAAGAACAATTTGGTAACCTGATCCACACACAATAAGCAAGCGTCTGATTGTTGCCATTTTTGTCAGTTAACAGCTGGTCTGACGGGCAGCAGGCACAAGGCTCTCTAAACAATTCACTAATGCTTTAGAAGCTGCACTAATTTAGAAGACATAGGAAGTGGCTCAAATAGTTTACCCATGTGGGTAGTGCTTTTACCATCACAGAGCAATCAAGTTACTTCCATAGTCTGATGAAGAAACCAGTGCAGTTTAACCTGTGCTAACAATAAAAGCAGCACAATTTGTACTCCACCTAGCCAGTGGGGGTCTGCCTTCTGGACTGTTTGGGTCGTTATAATTAACTGAGAACAAAAGGTGAAACTTCAAAGCATGCTTTATGATTAGTCAACATGAATGGGGTCCTTTGTTGTTATTTTTTTCTGTCCATGAACTGGACATTTTTTTTTCATACTACTTTCCTTTTCTTCAGCATACATAGTTTCAACAAACAAAAATGATAATTATAATTGATAGCATTACAGTTGATGCTGCGAATATAAACCAAATTGTACATCATAGTATTTCCTCAACATGTCTGTTCATTGCATTGGATGGGCATAGTACACCCATGATGCTGGGGTTTCATTCATAGGTTTTTATGAATGAAGGTAAACTGATCTGCCTGTGAAGCCACAGGCAGTGTGACGGAACACATTGGTGTCTCCCTGCTCTCAAATGGGTTGCATAAGTTGCTGCCTAGAGTAATGCAAGAAGGCAGCCATTGCAGGAAGTCATTGTTGAACTGTGTAAAGCTCATTGATTTAAATTAATTAAATTACACCACATATTGTTTTATGGAAGCTAATAGGTCATACAGGAAGTGGTTGTTAAGAGAAAAATGTGGTATGTTTGTGATTGTGCAGCACCACCGACAGTGTGACAGGGGTCTGCAAACAATGCAGGAGAGGGGACAGCATGCTGGGATGGATATTTATTGTGGTTAGTGGCAACTCAACGGCAGACAGTTGTTGTTAGTTTGATTTAACAGTATTTCCTTCTTGGTTTGGTTTTTTTTTCTTTCCTCGATTTCACTTGTTCTGTTTCCTACATGTGTTTGACATTCTGAACTTTCCAGATCTAAATAAGCTTCATGTTTGCTACAACAATTGTTTGTGTTAAGTCTGGGCTGCATTGTTTGAGAAATTCAATTTTTCCCCTTTCAATTCATTTCAGTTCCATATGTTCAATTCTTCTTAGTATTTTAGTGTCTTTATTAAAGCCTGTACAGAATTGTGAAGAAAGTGAATTGAATGAATTGCTCAGAGTATTTGTGTCTATGTTAATCAGTTGAAAAAATCTTAGTAAAATTCAGTCATTTGATTTTATTTGGAAGAAATTATGTAAATTACTAATATATTTATAAATGTGTTTTCACATAAATAAGGATGTGAAACTGCTTGCTTTAGTCTTTGTATGTAAGGACTTGATGAGTGAAATCTATGGAGAACAGTACTTCAGATGCCAGAGGTGAAAAGTTAATTGCTTTTACTGGAAGTTTTGTTTTTCTAATTGAAAACAGAACAACACACATGTGTATCTCCTCACTTCACTTTGAATTACAAGATAGGCTGCTTTATGAGGCAGAAGTGTGGAAAATAATTGCAATTTCCTCTTCAATCTTTTATCGCTGCCTTGCCATAATATCAAGTAAAATTTCTTCTTTGTGCTTAAATGCCAACTTTATCCTACTTCAAAGGCGGTTACTATAATAAGCAACATCCTTTCCCATTACATGTTATGTCTGTTGCTTGACCAACCTCAGTCTTTGAATAAAATTTAAAAGGCTGTTACTCAACAATCCATAAAAATCAATTAAATGAACAAATATTTCCAAGCTAATTTAAAAACAGGTTAATCAAGACAGCCACTGCCTATTGTGTAAGGGAGTGTTAAAGGAAACGATTGCTTAATCAAACATCCTTTTCTCCTCCATAATGTTTATAATTGTAAGGAAAAACAAAGAATTTGTTTAGAATAGAGAAAAAAAATCCAACATTTTTATTTTTGCAACTGCACATTAATGGTGTGAAACAGTAGAAGCAGGAATTGATTAACTGTTGGTTCTAGTTGGGACACAGCTCTGTTTATTTCTTACCTTTTTGTAAACGAAAAACAGTTGTGATAAATGTAACAACTTCACATTTCATTTGGAACTTGGCTGTTTTCAATGGTAATTTTTTGAAAAAATTTCAGTTGGAGTGAACCATTCACAGGCATCATCCTTGGCTTCCATGCCCCTCACAGTGGACACTGGCCGCTCTCCCCCAGCAGCTACCTCACCTTACAACCCCTCCCCACAGACATCACCACTAATGGCAAGATCTCCATCAGTTGGTGTACACCAGGCTCCAAAGAGCATCTCAGGAAGTGTCAATAGCTGTGATGGTCCTCTCAACCTCACCAAACCTAAGATGGATTTCTCTGTGAAGAAAGATGTCAACCACAATGATACACAGAATCACCATTCTGGGGCAGCAAGGTCTGAGCTTCAGAATTTTGTGCAGCCTCCTCCAGCACACAGTAACCATGCACGCAGCAGCCTGTCTTCACTGCCTCCACCACCAGATCACTTAGGAATGAAGCATCGTGCTTTTGCAGCAGCCACGCCTCACTATGTGAGTAATCCATATGTGGGTATTCCTGCACACTCAGCAGCCCGCCCCGTCCCCACCAGCTTACCCATGGCCAGCTTACTGCCCACAAGTCTTCCTGCCACAACAGTCTCTGCTACCACACCAACAACCTCAGACTCTTTAAAGGTATGAAGATAACACATATTGGGTTGTTCTTCTAAGAGGAAAGCTGATTGCCATCATGTGGATATTCCTATTTTTAATTAATCCAGTTGAATGCAAAGAAACACAGAACTTTTTATCTTGAGCAATTTTAAAAGAAAATGATGGTTAGATTTTAAGATTAATAATATCAGAAACATTATTTAAGTTAAATTTTTATTTCTTTCATTTATTTTGCATGTTTTAAATTGCCTTTTTGTAAAACTGGTAGAATAGCAATAAATAAATACCAAAAATTAAGTTAAGCAAATTAATTTTTAACAATGTCCATTTGTAAGGCATTCTAATTTATTTTTAGGAGAGTGTAATTAAGTCCCCACTACTTAGCCTGCCGCAAACTCTAAGTGCTCTCTACTCTGGTATGCCTCCTATGCCAGTTTATGCCATGCCAAATTCAGCCATGCCACAGATGTCACTGATGAAACCAATGAAAGATACAGTGGACTTGACTAGTGAAGAGTTGCCTCAGAGTAGTTATGTTCAACAACTGCAGAGTAAGTGGTGGTTTTGAAAATGGACAGGTATATGGCACAAAAATTTACTAGAAAAAAGGTTAAGTTTGGAAATTAATTTGGTTGATTGAAACAAAGTGGGACCTTGAAAATTGAATGATTTAGAAGTAACTACTTTGCCCATGTGCACAAGTTATATCTCAGAATAACCGTGTTCTTGATGTGTAGACTAAAATATTGGTGCAGAATTTGGATTCATTGGTTCTAAGTATGAATGCTCTTTCCCTTATAATTACAGGTCGTATGTTTGGTGCTAAAATAATTCGTTCCAACAAAGAGAAAGAGGATGCGAAGAAGCCCCATGTAAAGAGACCTATGAATGCATTTATGGTTTGGGCAAGGGAGGAGAGAAGGAAAATTCTAAAGGCATGCCCAGATATGCACAACTCTAACATCAGCAAAATTTTAGGTATATTTCTTTTTATTTTCATATAGCTGCAAGAATAACAAAATTAGTTTTTACAGATGAAAAATGTATTCAAAAGACTAAGGTAAAAATAGAAAATCGTGTAGACCACAAGTTCAGAAAGTTTGCTTAAAGTGAAATAAAATGAATTGTGTAGACCACAAGTTCAGAAAGTTTGCTTTAATTGAAATAAAATGATCTTGTAATTGGTAGTTATAATATGTAATATGCAAAGTTTTTCTCAAATGAAATGGATGTTTTTGTAGGTGCCAAGTGGAAGGCCATGTCTAATGCTGAGAAACAACCATTTTATGAAGAGCAGTCTCGTCTCAGTAAAATACACATGGAAAAGCACCCAGATTATCGTTACAGGTAGAATTTTAATGTTTGGTTTTTAATGTAATCATGATACATATTAACAAAATTTGTGACATTGCATATTTACCACTATACCTGGTTATGCAGTTTGAACATACAGCCAGCCAGTAGAAGTAGCCATGCTCAACTATTGCAGTATGGTGAATTACTTTACATAATGAGGTAAAGGATATCTGTTGCTATTTACAGGAAAAAAACATGATTCATTCTGTGTATTTTTTTTTATTTCAGGCCTAGACCCAAAAGAACTTGCATTGTTGATGGCAAAAAGCTACGGATCTCTGAATATAAAGCTTTAATGAAGAACAGAAAGCATGATGCCAGGAGGATGTGGTACTCTGCAGAGCAACCATCACCACAGTATCTGGAGCAGTTATATAGTAAGACCTTTGCAGATCTGGTGCCCTGCCCATCTTAACTTTGTCAGATTATATTGTCAGTTGAAACACCTAGGGTGCATTCCCAGAGATTTAGATCGATCCAGAGATTAAGATTTAGATCGACCTAACTTGCTGGGGGTTCATGCTAAATTGCAGTCAGCCGAGTGCGCACCGTAGTTAATTACCCCCTTACAGCTTTTAGTAGGCGGGACAGACGCTTAAGCCGGCTAAGCTGACAGTAATCTAGCAAGACTCCCCACAGGGATAGATCGATCTAAAATCTATGGGAATTGGGTCCTAGATTAGATAACCTTTTTTACCAGTCTGTGTGTTATCTCAGTCAAGGCACTCTTTGGTTATTTTTTATCAGTCTTGCTTACATAGCATTTCAGGATGTTAAAGTCATTTCTTGTTAATAAGATCATAATCCAAGTCTTGTCAAATTTTGAGGAGCATTCTACTCCAGTGAAATTGTTCTCAAATCACTTTTTCCCCCCTCAGGTAACTCTCTCCTTGCCAGTCCCAGCAGCTCTACAGCCTCTGTTGATCAGCCCATGTTTCCAGGCAGCCAGGAGCACACTGACAATGATAGCTCCCCACAACATGATGCTTACAATGGCAATGTCAGTGACAGTAGCATGGATGCCAGCAATGACATCTCCATGGAGATGGAAGAACATTCTCAGGAAGATGATTTGTCTGACTCAGAAGTTATCCAAACAGAACAGGCGTTGCATGCTGTTTGATCATATGCTTGACTTGGTAGCTGACTTGATTAGGCCTTATGGCAAATAATGTATATGTAGACCCGGAGATTAAGTCTTATACATAATAGATAGATTCAGGTTCCAGCACCACTTCTCCATGAGTTTGCAGTTAAAGCAGCATAATATACAAAGTCATTCACAGGACTGTAAGAAATAATAACTACATAGGGTTTCCCTCAAGTTATTCCAAGTCAAAATGTGAATAGAGCAAATGCTGCATGGTAATGGGTCCCACAAATTTATCTGTGTCCACTATTGGTACAGTAAAACACACGAGTTTTACTGCTTCTTACAATTGTTAAAATGGTGACATTACATTTTAGTTTGTTCTTTTTTATTTATTTTTCTCCATTTGGTTGATCTTTATAACTGCTGATGCCTAGTGTTATTTTTTGATACATTTTAAGCTGGAGTAGGGTTGGGAGAAAACCAAAATAAACTTGCCAAAGATTTAAGGTCTTCCAACTTTGTTTCTGCATTTATGGAGTGTGGCATTTATCATTTATTCATTCAGTGTGGAATTGCTATCCATAATTACAGAATTTTCATATTTTATCATAGCAAAGGCAAAAAAATACCTGCTGGATATGATGTATGTAGTGGGATTGGTTATATATCAATTGGTTGGAAGTTTTAAGTAGTAGTTTAATATAAAGGGAACACACAAAAAGTTTTCTTTATTTGATTCAGCTTGCATTTATTTATTTTCATATTAAAGAATTTGCATTTAGTACATTTAAATTTCCTACTTTTTTCTTCCCATCAGGGCTTTATTTCTTAACTCATCCCTTATTTTTATTATTACAGCTATTATTGCTATTATTATTTTGGCAGACATTGAACAGCACATGACTTGAATATCTCTCATAAATGTTCGTTTAAAAAATATTTTGATGCTCATTGATGGTTAATGTTAGTTTTCAGTCTGATAGGCCCCATTCACCAAGTAACACTTTAGGTAAAACATTCTAATCACAGCTCAAAATAATGAAAAGAAAGGTTGTAGCATTTCAAGTTGAATTTTAAAGGAAAAATTGAAAAACACATATAAACAATGATGAGTAAAACTTATATCACTAGAAAAGATCAACAACCTATTTAAGTATGTGGTATATGAGTTGAATGTCTCTGGCAGTTGTACAGGGAACACAGCATTGATGGCCTGCGAAAAATAGTGTTTTGTTTGGTCTTCATCAAGGGCTGAGCTTTCTGGAAACCATTATAAAATTCAGAAAACCCAATTACTACAAAGAGACCCAGTTTTTCTTGACATTGAACTCATTTAATTTTGTATGTACTTGTGAAAATGCTGACAAAAATTAACTTTTTAATTTTTGTTTTGCCAGACTAGTCAGCACATAGCTACACTGCTGTCACTTGTTCACTGAGAGTCAGTAATAAGTGATTTTCATAACAATTCCCAGTCCACAATTTGAATTTGACTATATTTTAAGTTGGCTAAATTATTTGTTAAATAAGATGAAGTCATACTGGTGAGCTTATGGAGGTGAAGATATCACTGTTCAGGGAGTTAGATATTTATATATAATTGAAATTACATAGATTTGTTTTCCCTTTCTTTTGCAAGTGAAATAGTTGTACATGTTCTTTAGATATTTGAAGATAAGGTTCTGACTCTTTGCAGTTCTGCAACAGCAAAGTATTCATATTAATGTAAGGCCCTGTATCTTGAATGCTTATTTAGTACTCTTGCATTCTTGCAGTAAAATTTCTTATAAAATGAGAACGTTATAAGATGCAGTTGTGAGCATTCAACAAGCAAAGAACCTAAATGTGTTCTAGTAACAGATTGTTTAGTTGCCTGACTGACAAAACTCATTGTTTATGGGTGCACGCAATATGGTTCAGGTGCTGTAAATAAGAGCTACATATTAAAGAGAAAGTATATATACAATATATTAAAATGTTTTAGATATGCATAATTTGTTAAATGATATAGATGTTATGAAATATATAAACATACAAGTAGTCTTGTTGATTTGTAACAAAAAGTTTAATATTCATATCCTGTAAATTATTGTTTGATGTTGATTGTAAATTGATTATTTAGTGTGATTGTAGTACAATTTGCTCAACTACGGTAATATGCCAAACAATTCGNAATAATGAAAAGAAAGGTTGTAGCATTTTAAGTTGAATTTTAAAGGAAAAATTGAAAAACACATGTAAACAATGATGAGTAAAACTTATATCACTAGAAAAGATCAACAACCTATTTAAGTATGTGGTATATGAGTTGAATGTCTCTGGCAGTTGTACAGGGAACACAGCATTGATGGCCTGCGAAAAATAGTGTTTTGTTTGGTCTTCATCAAGGGCTGAGCTTTCTGGAAACCATTATAAAATTCAGAAAACCCAATTACTACAAAGAGACCCAGTTTTTCTTGACATTGAACTCATTTTAGTTTTGTATGTACTTGTGAAAATGCTGACAAAAATTAACTTTTTAATTTTTGTTCTGCCAGACTAGTCAGCACATAGCTACACTGCTGTCACTTGTTCACTGAGAGTCAGTAATAAGTGATTTTCATAACAATTCCCAGTCCACAATTTGAATTTGACTATATTTTAAGTTGGCTAAATTATTTGTTAAATAAGATGAAGTCATACTGGTGAGCTTATGGAGGTGAAGATATCACTGTTCAGGGAGTTAGATATTTATATATAATTGAAATTACATAGATTTGTTTTCCCTTTCTTTTGCAAGTGAAATAGTTGTACATGTTCTTTAGATATTTGAAGATAAGGTTCTGACTCCTTGCAATTCTGCAACAGCAAAGTATTCATATTAATGTAAGGCCCTGTATCTTGAATGCTTATTTAGTACTCTTGCATTCTTGCAGTAAAATTTCTTATAAAATGAGAACGTTATAAGATGCAGTTGTGAGCATTCAACAAGCAAAGAACCTAAATGTGTTCTAGTAACAGTTTGTTTAGTTGCCTGACTGACAAAACTCATTGTTTATGGGTGCACGCAATATGGTTCAGGTGCTGTAAATAAGAGCTACATATTAAAGAGAAAGTATATATACAATATATTAAAATGTTTTAGATATGCATAATTTGTTAAATGATATAGATGTTAAGAAATATATAAACATACAAGTAGTCTTGTTGATTTGTAACAAAAAGTTTAATATTCATATCCTGTAAATTATTGTTTGATGTTGATTGTAAATTGATTATTTAGTGTGATTGTAGTACAATTTGCTCAACTAAATTATAATGTGTAGATAGATTTACTGTTAATGAAATGCCAGCTGCTCTACACTTGCCAAACTTATACATTGTAACAACAAAGGTGCATAATTCTGCAGTGCCATGTGAAATAAAAGCAAGCTTGCTGCTTGAATAACACTCATGCTAGGAGTTTATTCAGCAGCTGTTCCTGCTAGAGATTAAAACTAGTTGTTGTTGTTGCATTTTTAACATAATATTTTTTGTGGTATATATTCTTAATACATATGACAACTTCCTAAAAATTAATCCACCTGGGGTCAGTCCATTGCAAAGTATATATACATGATACATGAGATGCTGACAAAAATGTTTGGTTAATTTTTTAAAATGATCTATGGGTCTATTCAGAATGAGAAAATCGGCTTGCTTACTGGCCCATGGCCTAAATATGGTGGACCTACATGAAAGGAAGACCCCTTAATCCTGTAATGGTCTCTCTGCCTCCCACACGCCTCCCCACGCGTCGTCCCTCAACCGGTCGAATTGAGCCAATATTTAATTACTGTGTCCCTGCAGGGATAACCCGTGGGGAGGTGTGAAAGAGGCGGAGAGACTATGCTGTTTAGCAATTTGTAACATTTTATCAGTATTGAAGCAAACCTATTTGGGCACTGCCTCCATATATAGTGACCATGCCTCCATAAAGAAAAACCATGTCGCTTACAGGAAAGAAACAAAGGACTTAAATGCAGCTTGAGTTGGAAAAGCAGTCTAATTGGCTTCTTTTTCTGGAAGTTATATATTTTTGTGAAATTTTTATCTTTCACACATTGGCATTTTCAATGAACTTCAACGGGCATGAAGCCCAGTGGTAATCAAATTTTCTAAATGTCCATGTTATTAATAGTAGATAATTAAAAATTATGTTATATTGCATCAAAATTGACAAAGAACCTACTTCATGCAATGCCACCACAAATGTTATAAAAAAACTGCATAACTAATAATTTTTGTAACTTACAAGAATATGATTCTTAGGATTGACATACAGCTCAAATTAGAAAACCAGCTCTATTGGATTATCAATTTAACAGCATAACAGCAGCAAACCATTTATTGAGTTATTCTAGACATTTTTCTGAGAAGTTAGACATCATTCTTGCTTCCAGATTGACAAGTTGCAGACTTTCTACTTCAGTAAAATTAAACAAGATCGATTGGCAAATGTGAGATGGTGGTGCGAGCAACAGTAACAGAGGTTTAAATTTTAGTCTGNCCCACGGCCTAAATATGTTGGACCTACATGAAAGGAAGACCCCTTAATCCTGTAATGGTCTCTCTGCCTCCCACACGCCTCCCCACGTGTCGTATAAATCCTCCAAAAAACACAATGTACAAAAACTACACGCTGTGCCATAAAAAAATAATTATAGCAGGCAATCTTTTGAAATATCAGAGAGAGAAATAAAGTGTGTGTGTGTGTGAGAGAGAGAGAGAGAGAGAGAGATGCGTTCACTTTCTTTAATGACCTCTTTTTAATGACCTCTACTCGTGTGGTGTCAGTTACATTTGGGAGAAAACGGCACAGCGGGCCAGGAAATCTTTTACGTTAATATATTTGATTCTTTCTTTTTTTCACTTTTACCAAGACTAAAATATTGCCTCCCTGATGTACAGTGTATCTGTTAATTATCCCACAACTATTATTTTCTTTTTTAAAATATATAATCTTATAGTGAAATGTAAAAAAGTGAGTTAAATAATTTAAGCAGACAACTCATTGAAAGATCAGAGAGAGAGAGAGAGAAAGAGAGAGATATATTTTGAATTAACAGGAGTCCAAGGTCCGGTTAAATATGCTCTTTTATTCTTTAATTTCTATACAACAACTTCTTCATACATGCATGTATTAAAGGGATAATAACTCTTCGTTTTGGCCAAAAAATGAATTTCCCTGGAGTAAACAACAAATTTCCCATACTTACCAATGGTTAATGAATTCATTTTAACATTCAAAGATAGTCCGTTTTTTTTTTCTAAAAGTTTGTTTTTTTTTGTTATATAATCTCTTAAGGGTAAGCCGCCATGTTGGCGAGTGGCTCTTCTTGGCCAGTAATATTGCTGACCTAACGGTATATAAGTCTCGCCGATTTGTTAAGTTATATCAACAATATTAATTACCTAGTAATATAGTTTGCTTTTATATCACCCTTATTTGATGGGAATGACTGTTTCTTTTGTTGAATTGCAACTGATCTTGTTTTTATGTACAGACACAGATGTGTATGTACATATTGCCATCACCTGCGTCTGTCGTTGCCGTCGTTGCCGTCGCCGTAAACACATTATGGAAAATCCATGTTACTTATGATTGCCAAACTTTCAAAAAAGAAATACAGGACTAAAATGCAGCCTGAGTTGGAAAAGCAGTCTAATTGACTTCTTTTTCTGGAAGTTATACATTTTCAAAGTGTGAACTTGAACTCCCATGGGCCTGAAGGAGTGGTCAATCTTACTAAAACGCAGGTTGAGTTCAAAAATCAGCATAATCGGGGCATTATTTTAGAAGTTATGCTGTTTTTTCACATTTCCTCAGATTCAACTCTTAGGCATGTTAACAGTCTCATTATTGAACTAATAAGATATGTAAAAGTGTTTGTTTGACATTTCCTGCATCTTTACAACATTGTTAGTTGATTATGTAAAAATGATGGTAAACATGGTATCCTGGATTGTGTAATAAAGTGTCAAAAATGGAAATAAACTCATATCATTGCAGTTTGTCTGATTCAATCATACATTATGTTCAGAATGGAAGAAATTGGACATTTAACACTATTCTATTGATATTTTTCCCATCTCATCAATTTTCTTAGTTGATCATATAAAAATTGCAGTAAACTGTTTATTTTGTTTTATGTTAAAAAAAGTGTTAAAAATGGAAATAAACCCATGTCAGAACAGTGCTGTCTTGTTTCACATTTCCTCAGATTCAATTCTTAGGCATGTTAACAGTTTCATTATTTAATTAATAAGATACATAAAAGTGTTTGTTTGACATTTCCTGCATCTTTACAACATTGTTAGTTGATTTTGTAAAAATTATGGTAAACTTGTTATCATGTATTGTGTTATAAAGTTTCAAAAATGGAAATAAACTCATATCATTGCAGTTTGTCAGATTCAATCATTCACTATGTTCAGAATCTCAGAATGGAAGAAATTGGACATTTAACACTGTTCTATTGATATTTTTCCCATCTCATCAATTTTCTTCGTTGATCATATAAAAATGGCAGTAAACTGTTAATTTTGTTTTATGTTAAAAAGTGTTAAAAATGGAGAAAAAAAAAAAACATTTCAGAACAGGGCGGTCTTGTTTACATTTTGGCATTTTCAACTTTGTAACTTTGAAGTTCCATGAAGACCTTTGCTAGTCACATTTTCTGAATATCCATAATACTAATATTTTATTATTAAAAATTGATGGTCATTATGCTGTTAAACATTATGTAATATTGCATCAAAATTTGAAAAAAACCTATTTTGGGCACTGCTCCCATGATGACCATTTAAGGAAAACCATGTCACTTACTGTTCTTTAACTTACAGGAAAGAAATATGGGACTAAAATACAGCCTCAGCAGGCAATGCAGTCTGTTTGGTAATTCTTACTGCCAGTTAAACAGTTTTTTTGTGAAAATTTAATTTTTCACATATTGGCATTTTCAAGGTGTGAGTTTGAAGTTTCAAGGGCTTGAAAACCCATGCTAGTCACATTTTCTGAAAATCCATGATACGTATATTTTATTATTAAAAATTGCCGGTCAATATGCTGTTAACAATTATGTAATATTGCATCAGAATAGAAGAAAACACAATTTTGGGTGCTGCTGCCATGATGACCATTATGGGAAAACCATGTTACTTATGATTGCCAAACTTTCAAAAAAAAAATACAGGACTAAAATGCAGCCAGAGTTGGAAAAGCAGTCTACTTGGCTTCTTTTTCTGGAAGTTAAACATTTTCAAAGTGTGAACTTGAACTCCCATGGGCCTGAAGCCTTATGCTTGTTACACATTTTACTTACATTGGAATTACCTGTTGAGCATAATTAAAATTTGATGTTGAATTTGCAGTTTAACATAATGCACTTTTGCATCAGAATTGACAGTAAACTATTTTGTTATTTCCTGCTTTTTGTCTGTACATTTGACAGCTTTGCTGCCTTGTTATTTTAGTGCATTACACTAATGCAGTTACATCGCAAACAAAGCTATTCAAATCACATAGTTTCGTATAAAATATACTTGTTAAAACAATAGAATATTCTCACTTATTTTATTAATAATTCTTTGTTTTCAAAACAGCGTATAAATTAAAGTCTTTAATAGGTTGGTTTATGCACAAGAAGTAAAATATAAGGTACTTTAAAAGACCGAATCATTTACATAAATATACATATAGACTTAAGAAGCACGTTGTCGCTGTAACGCAGGGGAAAGAATCATGTATAGATCTATGTCAACGTTTTTGCAGGTACTAGCAACGCTAACTTTTAAGAACCTCTATTCCCGTGATACTATAAAATGCCCTGTAGTAATGTCGTGAGCTAAATTTATAGACCTACTTAGCATTTGCACGAAGTTTATCCTTGCGTGCTGTTGTTTATCCACAGTGCTGTCTTTTTTTAAGCAGTACGGTTTATTTACTATTCGTACTAACGCATAAAAGATTAAGGCGTACATTACTGTCAAATGTTGGCCAGCTTGCGACATAGCTGCGTGTTGGGAGCTCTCACATATTTTGCTTAACCTCTCAGCTCCTCGAGTCAAACTCTCCTGTAATTTATTTGTAAAGCCAATCAGCTTTCCCATAGACAGTCCTGTAAGGTTAGTTTCAACCGTCATCTGTTTTTTTTTTTACACACTGTGAAACTTAACACCTGCTTAGGATATTTAACTTACCATGAATAGACTTCTGAATGCCCAAGGTAGGTAAAATAAAGGGCACTTTTGCCTCTTAAAAGCCACTTTAGTTGGAGAATCTGTGCAAAATGGCGGCCCAAAACTATTCATGACCAGCCACATGTACAAACATGGGCAACTTAGAACATCTAAGAACACATACCGAGTGAAAACAAAAACATGCATGGCTTCTTTTGGATCGAGTAATCAGTAAGCAAAAAAGAGAGATATATTTATTTTTAATTATTTCTAAAGATAGCTACTCTTAACTTAATTCTAAGAGACATGAGTTATAATTTTGCAACCTTAGTGTTAAGTATTCTTCAAATTGAGGGACAATGTTTGTGATTTGTGATGCTGGGATGTCACAATGCTGCAGCCTAGATGCAATGCTTCCCATTATACTTAGTTATTACATCAACCGTAACGCATTGGCTACAATAGTGAAAAAAATGCACATTTTTGGGGAAAGTGGTAATTAGCTTAGGGAAGGTGAAACGTGGAAGCAACAATTATGAAATGTACTTTTAGGGCAAACTTTACTGTCCCCACTGGCTTGATTGCCTTTTTCACTGCTTTATGCCCTGTTACTGCACACACACAATGGGCTTGTTGTAACTCATTCACTTTGCGCTGCCCACTCATGGCAACTGCCCTGTGCAGGTTGAAAAATTTGATCATCTAATGTTAGATAACCCCAAAAACATGATTTTTAGGCCATTTTACCATATTACATGCCTGAAGGGAAAACCAAGTCAATAACAATGAATAGTTGAAGGGCAGGTTTGCCAGGGAAATCAATTTTATGGCACTTTTCCTGCCAAAATGAACAGTTGTTATCATAAGGTAGCATGTGTTTCAAAATGAACAGTTGTTATCATTTTGAAATTATTCTAGTATTTTAAATAGATGGTGTATTATTTTTTTAACACTGTTCTGAGTGTTTTCTCATGTTTGCAGCTTTCCAGACAGGCCTGTCTACAGTTTTCAAGAGGGAAACATGTTGTAATCACTCCAGTTGACAAACCTAGATTTTTTGGTAAATAAACATCTGTTTGTTGTATTTCTTAAAATTCTGAAGAACAGTATATGGTAATGACTCGATCTTTTCAATGGGCAAAAATATCAAACTTTCAGATATATCATTTTTAAATCATAAAAATTATATTTTTGTATAGCATTTGTGATGCTTTTAATGCATGGAATAGAACTATAAGGTAGTATGCGTTTCAGTTTTCATTGCTCAATAGGAATGCTCTTATTTTAAGAAATTCTTACTTAAACAGTATCTGCAAAATTCACAATTTTTCCCCATTGAAAAGATTGAGTCATTATCGTACTTTATTAAGTGCTGACCTTGCACCAGTTTTTATGTACAGACACGGTGTGTCTGCACATATAACCATAACCTATGCTGTTGTTATTATTGTAGCCATGAACCTCATACTTGGTGTTTTTCAATTTACCAACCTAAATAATTTGTCATAGAGATAAATGGTTGTCAGATTTGTGTTAGGTCCAAATTTTGCCTCAGAAATCACCTTTTATTGAAAATTTTTGAGATTTACCCTACCCTAGCTAATGAACCAAATCTTGGCTAAGAAGAGAATGACCAGCAACATTTTTTACAATTTTCTCCCGGGTAAACATGAATTAAGTGTTAATCATTGCCTTGTCAAGCTTGCCTTGTTAAAATAATGATAATGAATAGGCTGAAATAATGGTTCAGCTGTTTTCATTTTACACAAACATTCTTTAATCTCATTTAAATTCTTGTATATTGTTACCTTAAATGCAGCTTTACATCTACACATGAAATACATTGTACCATAACTTACTGAATTGCTCATATTTCTTTAAAAAAAAGGTGTCACACCATTCAGTTGACCAGTATTTACAGCCGGCTGTCTCCAACAAATGCTCGTTTTCTGTAATATATAAGTACTACTATGAATTTGAGGATTTCAGTTTTGCCTGACATATTCCAGTTGTGTTAGCAGTCCAAAACTCTATTCCCATAAAGACACCATCAATTTACTTGCCATCAGCTTAATCTTGGACATAATAATGAATGGTCTAGAAACGAGGAGCAAGATCGAAGGATAATTGGCTTAGCGCGAGCTCTTCATGAAACCATGTGCGTTCGGATCACATGACCTCCCGTACAGGTAGCGAGCATATCGCGGTTGTTGATGACTTTTTGTGTCATTTGGACAGATAGATGGCGATAACATGAGGCAGTCTTTTAGGTGGATGAGACAATAAACTTATAGAGATTAAGTACAAGTACAATTTGTACTATTAATTTGGCAGCTATGTGAGTATTTGATAGTTTTGTTCATGGGGGAATTCAAAATGCCCTATGTGGTAAATGCAATCTTGTTTGTTTCCGTAAAATGACCGTTTAAAATTGTATAATTATAGTGTAGCATACTTGTTTTTAGCTATGATCCGATAAAAAAATATTTCTAGTGTCGAAATTTATTCTCTATGTGAGAAATTAGCCTGAGATGCGGCAATAATGAAACCTTAAATCGTGTTTTGAATTAAAATTATGCAATTTCTTTCCTATTTCTTAGGCTCGCTGACATTTCTTTAAGGCTGGTATTTTTTATGTACCTTTTAAATAAAGATGATGTCAGCAGTGCTGTGCACTTTATATATAGATTCATGCTACTTGTTTAAGTCTGCTCTATTTTTGGAATGATAATTTAAATTTTTTTTTTTTTTTGCTCTCAATATCTGCTCTCGTTGCAATATGGCACCACACATGCATTTGTGACAAACAAAAATGAACCCGTAATACCTTTTAAGTTCTCTTATCAAAGTTGACATCAACACTTTTGTGAACTGTACATGTCAAAGGCTTTTGTTACATTTTCCGATCACGCGTTAGCCTTGGAAGCGTGCCGCCATTTTGATTGACAGCTCTGGAGAGGGCCCTAGTAGGGTGTCAAGGATATGTAGAAGGAAGAGCTAACAAAGGCGATTACGTGTAACTGCAATTAAGAGGTGTGAAGTTGCATTTGAATGTTTCAGTGGGCCTACCTTGGCAATCGAGTAATTTTACCTGGGAGATTCCCTCTCTGATATTGGCAAATTGATCAGATAAAACTGTCGAGAGCAAGTGGCCGGCACTTGTGTTAATACGAGTTTTTGACAGGTTACCCTGCAGGATTATTTTGCACAGCACTGGGTAATTGTCAGATCAACGGAAAAATCCAGTGATTACTTTAGAGCGGTTTATAGGGAGACGCTCAGCTGCACAAGAATCAGCAATAAAAGTGGCTGAGAGAGGGCTTTTGAATAAAATGACAGAGTGTGGGTGAGTTTTGAAACCACGAACGTGTTGATTGTAAAAAAGTATCTATTCGTATCTTTTGAAGCATGTTAAAGTTTCGTCGGCATTTTACTGTGGATTGCGTCTAATACGAGATCACTCCCCGTATTTAGGCCAACATGATATTGTTGATTTAAGGAATATTAACTCTTCGTTTTTGCCAAAAAATGGATTTTCCTGAAGTAAACAACAATTTTCCCCTACTTACCAATGGTTAATGAATCCATTTTCACATTCGAAGTTAGTTCCTGTTTTTTTTTCTAAAAAGTTTGGTTTTTTGTTTAAATCTCTTAAGAGTATAGCTATCAATGAAGCTCACATGGTCTGAAGGCAAGCTCAGATATCAAAATAATAGCTATAACTGCCGTTTTTTTTTTTGCTCTCAATATCTGCTCTCGTTGCAATATGGCACCACACATGCATTTGTGACAAACAAAAATGAACCCGTAATACCTTTTTAGTTCTCTTATCAAAGTTGACATCAACACTTTTGTGAACTGTACATGTCAAAGGCTTTTGTTACATTTTCCGATCACGCGTTAGCAAAATAATAGCTATAACTGCCGTTTTTATGGTAAAACAATATATTATATTTCTACGAGTTGTTCGCAATGTTTTTATTGTGAAATATAGATCTCATACGAAGAGTTATTGTGGTGGTGCTTTGTCCAACCTTGAGTAAAGATCAGTTCTGCCATAGGGAACATTTAGCAGTTTTGAACAGGACTCTGATAACAGGAAGCAACAATGAAACTTGACTGTCACCCAGATCAAGATTTTCCTGCCAAGTTCAAGCTACAACTAAAGTATTACATAAAACAAGTTCATCAGTGATACATTTGGAAAAAAAATAGAGCATAACTATTTTATTACATTGAGTAAGCAATTAATCAATTTTAAATAACTTGCACGCAGAGAAAAATGCCCACTGAGAAAAGTAGATGAAATGGTTGTGGTGCTCCTGTCTTGCAAACCCGCTAACATTATTTTTTTAACTACGCTGTCAACCCTCGCTTGACTTTCTCTCATTTGGCCATTCACATCACAATTTTTTCGCGTGTCTCTCAAGCTCCATAATATCATATCTCGTAGAAGAAAACTTTATTTTGTCAACATTAGAGTTATTATCACTAGATTTTCTGTTGCATTTTATAGCTGATTAAGTACCCTTTGCAAACGGCGACCAACAATCATTTCCAGTTTCGTAACGTGTCACAGATACACGGGCCGATATATATCGCCAAAATTAAGATCTAGCATCGTTTCTAGCGTATGTTTTTTTTGTTATCGATTTTTCTTACAACTGTCCACTGTGCCAAAGTCTGTACCTAGTAGCTACTGTTTCTTCCTCACGATCACTGTCAGAGGATTCCGACAACTGTTCAAGATCCTTCAGAATCTTATGAGCGCTCACTCCATGTAGATTCTCTCTCTCATCATCCGACTGAACGAATACCGGTTTTCCCCAACCACTGCCCATACTCTCTTTCAAAATTTTTCTTTCTTTCTTTCCTCTGGAAATGTATTTTTTTACACGAACTTGCTTAGCTGATGACTTATGATCTATTACCGCACAAGTAATCGGCTTATAATTCATTAACTATGCTCCGCCCCTCATGGCAACGGCCCTTAGCAACAGAGGCGTGGCTTAGTCATCAGCCTGACTGGGGCGTGTGCCAGTTGAAAAACTCATTTTGCAGTGCAAATTAAAAAAAAAATTATTACATCCAACGTTAGATACTTTTTTGATTAGTATAAACACATAAAAAACTCAAAAACATGATTTTAAGCCTAGTTTACCCTATTAGTGGCCTTAAATGACTAAGTTAATTGGCCAAGCTGCCAGTTTGTTTGTATGGCATGTGCAGGGTATGTCTTAGATCAAGGGCGTATTCCCATAGATTTTAGATCGATCTATCCCTGTGGGGAGTCTCACTAGATTACTGTCAGATAATCCAGATTAAATGCCCGTCCCACCTACTACAAGCTGTAAGGGGGTAATTGACTTTCGTGCCCGCTCGGCTGACAGCTATTTAGCGTGAACCCCCAGGGAGTTAGATCGATCTAGTTTGGACTGATCTGATCTCTGGGAATGGGGTCCTAGGCACATATTATGATACTTACAGGTGTGGCAAATGAGAAATACTTGTATTTCATTACCTGTGATTTGTAAAATACATCTGAGGATGATACTTTTAAAGATGTTTAATGTTTAAAGAAAAGACATGTAGATTGATTTAGTAACATTTACTAAAGAAATGTTAAATTATTATTATGTCCAAGTGACCATTAAAGGAAAACTATGTCACATACTCTTCTCAGACTTCCAAGAAAGAAAGAAACATAGAACTATAATACAGCTTCAATTGGAAAATCTTTCTTATTGGTTAATTTTTCTGGAAGTTATATAGTTTTTTTTGTTAAAAGTAAGCTTTTGAATTATCATGGGCCTAAAGCTTTGTGTTTTTACTTTTATTGGTATTACCTGTTGTGCATAATTAAAATTTGAGGTTGACTTTGCAGTTAAGCATAAGATATTTGTGCATCAGAATTTACAGTAGCCTATTTTGTGCATTATTAGTACCACCAGTGTATACTCTGGCGGTACTTTCTGCTTTTTGTCTGTACATTTGACAGCTTTGCTGCTTTATTTTTAGTTTACTTGGCAAGTAAATTTCATTTATAAGCCAGCTGTGCTGTCTAGTGCAATATTATATTGCAGAACATCAATCTTGGGTAAAGTATATTAAAGCGGCATACAAACCAAGGGGGGGGGGTGCTATCATTGTTGTTGAGATGATATAAGATTGTTTATTTTAAATAATCGTCACCGTTAGATGTATATATACTGACAGTCAATGAAAACGCATAATTTATTTATCAAATAATATTTTAAGTTCCTTTGGCACAATAAGAAAATAACAGTTTTTTTGTGAAATATGACCCATTATTCAGTCACACATGGTGGAATCAAGGTCAGAAAAGATCATCAAAATGCTAGGTCACGTGATCAAATCTCTTTGGTTCCGCCCAGCCTCCAGCATCTAAAGGGTCTGCAGTCACTCTTCCAGTTTTCTGATGCCTTTTTACTTTTCATTGAGTGTCAGTATATTATTCGTCAAAACACAGTGTTAACTTTGGTTTTTGTCTGTTCTTCGTGTTCAGTTTTCTGCTCTGCTGTCTTCAAAAAAAGTTTGCGTGAGCACAATATCTTCACTGCGTGTGCACCTTATACTTCTTATACTATTAGGGCTTCCTAACCAGTGTGGCCATTGCATCATTCGATGTTGTCTCAGTGCAAGGTTTTTGAACGTTAAACGTCTTATTTATCTCTGTTGACATGCCATTGCCCTGTCTATTATAATCCTACTTTTATTTGTGCAAGTTTTGTGTTGTGCTTCCTTCTGCTTTTTATTCCTCTTAGGTGCTAAAAAGTTTTTTCTTTCTGGTACGACTGCTCACTTGACCTTCACTGATGGAAAGTAGGTTGTTCAGTTTTCCCACACTTCTTCCCGCACATTCATTCATATGCTAGTATCTGAGTCACATAACATACAAGGTACATTTCAATCGCAGGATGTAAATGCGATTTTAGTTCTTAATTTTTATGCACTTGGTGCATGTTAGATGTTAAATTTGAAATAGATCTTGTTTATTTGAAGTGTTTGATGCTGTGAAAGTGCTGTTTTTATGAATAATTTCCAACTAAAACTGCTTTGTATGCCGCTTTAAGAATAATTTATTTAAAAGGATTTTGGCTATGAAAAAAATAACAAATAAATAAATAAAATAAATAAATAAACAAACACAGTATAAAGTTTGTGTAAATTTTTATAGTAGTATAAAAGCTGCCTGAAAATGTATGTTACAATTCTCAGATATATAGTAATAAATAGTATTGTCACTTTTGTGAAGAACCTCTCACTACTTTTTTCTGCAGGTATAAACAAAGTAATAATACTAGGGAGCCTTGCCAGTGTAGTCAGAAATCCAGGAAATGATGATTCATTTTATACGTTCACTTTGGCTAACAATAGAACAGGTATGTAAAAATAGTGCAGATACAGTGATTGATCAGACATATTGTGAAATAAAAAACTAAAAATGTAACATTAAGATGCTCTCTGATAATCATTTTGACAATTATAAGCAGTTAACTAAGCAGTTAACTATAGCAACTACCAGACTGAGCATTTAATGATCCTGAATTCACCGGTAGATTGGACCACACTACCCATTTTCAAGCATTAACATAGATGGCATTGCACAGTTCCTGTCTGGACATTGTTTGGTAGACTTGCATTGATTTTGATAATGTTTGTTGTTGGCCTCATTTCCTTCTACCTTTTTTCGGTGGGTTAACGAGGCATGACAATGGTTAAGATGTTTAAAACTAGTATCAGTCACATGCACAGATTTGAAGCCGATGGGTGTGAATATGGTAGGGATTTGTGCCAACAACGTGTTGATCTTCAAGGAAGCCACACGTAAAGGATGCGGCAATTGCACTGAGACTGAAGGGGCTCCATACCATCCCTTTTAGCATCCCTGTCAGCAAAATGGCACAGCACCAGCATGTAATGTAAACATTCTTGCAATAGCCTGTAGCCATTTACATACTGTGTCATGTTAATCACACAGAAAAAAATTTATACAATTCATTGCAAGGCGTCCATATCAAATTTTTATCTAGGCTTCAGCAATTGGAGCTTTACTAGGTGGCAATTTTCATATGGTCAGGGGGAGATGGTTAGAGATCCTAAGGAGACATGAAGGCAATTTTCATATTTGTTTAAGGGATTAATTTACCAGAAGACCCTTATTAGTACCACCAGCGTGTGTGCTGGTGGTACTCATGGTTTTAGTCCCGACCTGTCTCCGCCGGTTCCTGTGACTTTGCAGGATGGCATGGGATACAAGTCGCCATTTCCGCTTCTCATATGTAGGATTCCAAATATGCCCTTGGATTTGACTTTATTTCAAGGTCAAATGGCCCATAATTTTCTAAAAATGATAATTTTCTGCAAAAAAATATTTGTTTGTGCCAATTTTCAGAAACTACAGAGACTTCAGCTTTCATACTATAGTCAGGGGTCACAATTATGGACTTCATTCAACTTTGGGAGTTTGGAGTCAATCAGTGCATTTTAACAGTAGAAGCAGCCATTTGATGCCGAAACTGAAAACTCTCTCCAATTCTGGAATGGTAAATGCTGGAAACCTTGTTTTTTTTTGCATTTTCTAAAGCTTGTCAAGTGCAATACTGGAGGTGGTATCCATTTTTTTTCCATACGGTTTATGAGTTGCGCTATATCAAAATGTGCAATGTGGTAGTGAAAATAAAATGTGAAATATGGTAATTTGCCATGAATTTGGAACGTCGGGAAAAGATAACATAAGGCTTAGTGAGGGACAGACAACATCCAGTCAAAAATGACAGAATTTCATGAAATTCAAACATCTGGAATGTCTGAGCATCTCCAATTTCATGAATTTCAAAACAATCTTTTTGTTTTTTCAATTAATTTATTTTGTTCAAAATTCATGGCACATAACCGTTAATTCAAAATTAGCAAAGAGTTACTACAGCGGCGGATTCAGAGCTATTTTCTGACAGTTTTCCTAATTATCTTTGTTGATCCATCCTCCAATTTTGACCATCTTCCAACAGAAAAATTAGATACCTGTCAATGTAAACTTGAAAATCTGACTATCTTCAGATTTTCAAGGGGCCTAAATTCGCCCCTGCACTATTGAACTTGAATAAAAAGTTATATATTGGCAATCTGTGACCTTGAACCTACTTTTCATCATGAAATGAACTTTGCAACTTTTTTGTCCCTCATCTCCAAAACTGGCAGAGATACACCTATAGTTACTACTGAATTTGAATAGGAAGTCATATACTTGCAAATGAGCTTTGACCTTGAAATTGAACTT